ATAGAAGTTGCTTACGAAGGAAAAGGCCTAGACGTGTTGAAGCTTCATGAACCTCCTAAGAAGCCCACGAAACTCCAACAAATTGTCTATAGATCTTATTATAGTATTCGACCTCTCCTTCACACTCGGGGTATTATCTCTGCTTCTGAGTAGATTGTTCTTGATAAAGCGCAGAGTAGAGTTTGAATATTTCAGGCGCTGATTTCACAAAAGAAAATCTTTCTTCCTTGCTCGTTTCGAAAGATCACCCCTGACCTCTGGTTCCACCAGCACCGTCCACGAGGGAATGTGTTTAATGCCTTTTAGATCTTCATTCGACGTAGTGACATTTAGTTGATCTATTCCCATATCCATAGCCAATTGAAAGTCGAATTTGCACCTGAAGTCCAGGAGGTCCGTCATCGTCTGCCTAATCACTGAGTTAGCTAGAGCATACTTCATCCCTTATCCCTCTTGTTGTCAGTATAAAAGTACAGAGACAGAAGGTCCCATGGATTCAGATTAATGAGATCGCAATCTGTAAAAGAACTAATCTGTCCATGGGTCCTCTCAACCATATATTCATGAAAAATAATCTGGTTATGCGCAAAGGTTTGTCGTCTGATGTCCAATATTTTTCTGATGTCGTCAACTGAGTGAACTGCTAAGACAGGTTGATTGAAGCGCTGTAAGAACCTCTTCCTTATATGCTCTTGAGCCGTTAGATGAAGAGTTATCTTTATAACAGGCGTCTCATTCTGCAGGCTATAGAGATATTGGTAGACTTCTTCATTGTCTACAGTATCCTTGATCAGCTTATCTCGGGGTGTGGGCCTCATTATTGCATCCATATGATCCTTCATCTCTTGTACTCGATCAGCGGGTCGTTTGGAGCTCTGAGGCCTACTGTTGTTTTCTGCCTCTGGCTTTCGAGATCTAACTGGGACGTCCTTCCTTAGAGCAGGTGTGACGACTTTGGTCCTTTGTACAGGGACCTTGGCTCTGTGTGTGTTTCGTATGGTGGTGGTGCAGCAACAGTTACTTCTTCAATTGGGATAGCCATTGGTATAGAAGCCACTTCTGGTTCTTGGCATCTTTCTAGTAGGTCTGGATCAACGACGTTGACTACCACCATTTCTTCTTCTTCATCCATCTTTGCAGATGGAGCAGTCTCCATGACATACTCTGTAGAGGATGACAAGGTCTCTGATGAGGATGAACAGGTGTATATGGATAAAAGCTTGATTACATTCTTTTCACCCTCTTTATTCCCTGCTGGCTCTGCTGCAGTTGATGCAGATGGAATCTTTCCTTTTCTTCTTTCTTTTGCGTGTGCCTGCGCAGCCTTGGATTTTTTATTAGATGGCGCTTGCGCTGGCTGTCGAGGAGCAAAGGCAGAGGGGGCAGCCTTTGGAATAGAGCTCTTGGAGGTTGCTGGTTGTTTCTCCCCCTCTTGACGACTTTGAGGACCAGACTGGTCTGGGTCCTCATTATCGTCAAGCCTCCTCTTCTTTGAGGCCTCAGCACACGCAGTGAGTAGCTCCGACTTCCTCTTTGGCTTCTGCACGTTAGTCGGAGGCATGGCCTTGATCTTTGTGTCAAAGAGTTCGATGATCTCTGATGCTGCGGTTGTGGGCTTCTCGATCTCCATGTCTGCATTGTACTTGAAAGCATGCTCTCAGTACCATCGATGCTATTGTGATAGATCTCACAACCGCAAGGCACAATAGTCGAGATGGCCATACTCTCAGTACCATCTGTGTTATTGTGACATATGTCATAACTGCATGGCTCAATAGTCGATACAACCATACTCTCAGTACCATCGGTGCTATTGTGATAGATGTCACAACCGCATGGCACAATAGTGGAGACGACCATACCTGGTTTTTCTTTACTGGATTACTCGATCGAACACTTTCTTCAACTAGGATGAAAATCAGGATGTTACAATATTGTTTTAAGAAAATGGTGTCCTATGGGGCATAAAATCATAGTTAATAAATCATATTCTATGCCATTTCTTTTGTTCATGAACGGGAGAAATGAGTTGACATGAATTCGAATTAAAAAATAGAAACGTATGATACTATGTCCGATATGATAAATGAGAATTCTAATTGTCTAATTTTATGGCAAGTAGAAAATTAAAAACCACTCAAGGTGTTGGGGACTATAATTGGTTAAACTTTAGCGGTTAAATTATGCACCATCCAAAATTAGACAATTGTATAATTTTCTATATGATCTTTGATAATTTGAGAAAGAATTTATATGTATTGAAATCAATCACATTAATATTATGATTGCATAAGGAAAACGTGAATGACATGTAAGAGGTCATCTACCACTTCCTTTTCGACTTGAAGTATACACTTGTTTATGGATGATTAGAAAAAAAAAATTTGAAAATACAAAAATTAGCATGAGGATCAAGATTTCATGGACACAAGGCACACGTTTATGCATTTTTTATCCCTTTACTTGTTTTGATGATATTGTCAGAAGTTACTTGGTTTATGACATCGTTTACGGGACAATAAAACCTCTATTTCTCATGGTATATCAAGTGACTTCTCGAAGAAAATTGTCTTTAAAGAGAAACATGTGACGAAAATCATGCCACAATGGTTGTCGCCTATCCTAATTGTCTTCTATGTTAGTGATGGAAATGGGCAACGTATTTGTGACAACTTCATTTGGCGATTATTGCTTGTGGAAATTAAACAATGATGGTTATAAAAATTTCGGTCTTTTAGGACGTCCAACTGCTTTTGGACATCTTGAATAAAGTATTTGATTAGACTTTTAAGTTTTATAGGATCGACAAGTATGATATATAATATTACATGATGTTACAACAAATTTCTAAGAAGAAGTTAGGCGACTTAACGCTTTCTATCCACGAAGTTGAGTAATCTAATAAGACACAACTTGATACATAAATCATCTTATTAGCCTTACTATATCATATTTTCTGAAAAGTGTCATACAAAAATGGTTTATAAAAAGGCTAGAAAATAATTTTCAGTATTGTCAAATAAAAAGATAATAGGAAGATTAACTTCTTGTGTTGCCTAACTTCATCGATAGAGTTTGTTTGATCACTTACTTCGTCCTAATAATTTATACTAACATCATTACTTAAGACGTATAGGTAGTCCAATGACAACTAAATATCATAAAGTCCTATTTTTTGTAGGATGAAGTGGCCGACAACTTATCTACGAAGTTTGAACTTTTTTGTTATAGTTGTTGCCACAATTTAACATATTTTTGTGCAATGACTCGAAATAAAGTCTGTGAATTTTTGTAGCAAGCCAATAATTAAGCCTTCCTCGACCATTCCTAATGTAGTCATTCATCGTCAAGTTGATGGAAACAAGGATTTTGATAACTAAAACGAACTAAATAAGAAATAATAGATGTACAAATCATGATTCAACTATATTTTTGTTAAAGGAAACAATAACTCGTGTTTTAAGGATTGAAAGGTTCTATCGTCATCATCATGGTAGTTGTCGTCATTGTCAGGCTTCACATTCAACGCACGTGACAATTTCGAGGTTATAGTATCATGCACGAAAGGCTACTTAGTGTTTTCTTGAGATGGTTAATGAGATTTTCTTAGTAATAGGAAACTCACGTTCTTCTTTTTCACTTTCTATTAGAAAAACATTAAGGATGTTTATATTTATCAAGTAAATCACTAAGCTTATTAAGATGACTATAATAACTTTCAAACGATATAAAAAAACGAATAAAATTTCACTAAGATATAGACGTAAAACAATATTCCTCGTTACTATTGACTCCCTATCCAATTTTCATCATCTCCATGTCCCATCGTCATCCCCCCCTTTTGTTGTCATCGGTTTGCCCTTCCCCCTCGTGTTTTTTAATTCAAAGCCTTTTGGTTTTATATTTTAACCATCAAAAGTTTGATATTAAGTATTGACATTTTATATTTTTCTATTAACCACAATATAGTTTTAAATCAATGACATCTTTGTTTTTTTTCGATTAGATTTAGCTTATGTTAATTAGCCCAAAAGCTAATTATAGACAAATAAACTAAGTATTTGCTAATAAAACAAGTATCCTATAAAAAGATGGGTATACATGACATTTTTTTCAAAAGTGTCATAATACATAGAGTTTGCACTCTTTGTATCAAAAGTGTCTTACAAAACTTGTTAAAACGATCAAAAGTGTCTTATAAACTTATTATAACGTTATTTTTTAGCCTTATAAATTGAGTCCTGTAAAATAGTTTGAAATTTATGACATCCTATAAACGCAATTTTATTGTAGTGAAAAACCACAAAGATATTCATTATATTAAAATAAATAAAAATAAAAAGTTTGTCAATGGTTTAGACTTACTGAACAACCATTAATATATACCAACATATAAAAATAGGTAATACTAAAATAATTAGGGATATGGATTTCTATATGTAGAGTACTTTACAGTAATCATGTGAAAAAGAAGACAGATGTAAGAAAAAATAAGATGTTGATAAAACTTTTTACACCATATAATGTGACTTGTTTAAATCAAAGCAATAAAATATGGTTATTAATTATCACATCTTAATAAGTATTTCATAAAGTTTTATTATGGTTTCATTGACAATATAACAAACATAAAGTAATTAATAAAATGAATAGTTATGAAAAACGAATAAATAATAATTATGGATATAATCTAAAGAAATTGAGAAAAAAAACCTCCAAGTACAATGGTATTTGAAGTTAGATTTCAATAACAATTTATAGAAGACAATAAAATCGAAAATATCATTGCATAAGAATATTGAAATAAAATAAAATGACGTAGATAAAGATTTTCTTATAATTTGATTAAACATTATCACTAACTTTTATAAATGAGATTCCATTCCTCACAAAAATCCACTACAAATACCCGCCGTCTCCTCCAATCCTCCTCATTCTCACTCACCTTCATTCCCTCTAAATCTCTCTCCAGCCCCTCGGTTTTTGATCGGTGATTTTGTTTCAGAAAAAGAGATGGAGAAGAAGAAATTGGAGAAAAGCTACTTCGATGTTTTAGGTTTATGTTGTTCGTCGGAGGTGCCTCTGATCGAGAAGATTCTGAGACCTATCGTAGGTGTTCATGAGGTTTCCGTTATTGTTACGTCCAGAACCGTCATTGTTGTTCATGATCCCCTCCTCGTCTCCCAGCTTCAAATTGGTAAAGTAACTCTCTTATCTAACTTTACACCTTATTTTTCCCTTTCTTAGCGAGTCTTTTTCATCGTCATCGTCGTCTTTTCTCTCTCTCTCTTGCTTAATTACGTCGTTTTCCAAATTCATATGCTCCTCAAGGTTGTAAAATCGTGGGTGTTTGATTGGGTAAGAAGGTTTCGAATGGAAATGGTATCTGTTTTGATGTAATGAAACGGTCGACACCAGATATCGATTTCCATTTCCATACCTGTAACGAATGAAGCACCCATGTGTATTTATCACATAGTTTTTTATAACTTATACAAGTTTATTATTTCTGTTCCATTTTAATCAAATAACCAACATTCTATGGAAGTACTCAATTAATATTTAATTGACTGCATGATGATGGATGTATAATTATAATGGTCCTGGCTTCAGTCTTCAAGACTCCAATGCTAGCTTTGGTTCTAGTTTTTCTATTTTCTGTTAATCTTTGTTTAATTTTAGGATAGACGGTGTTTAAAAGACGGTAACTTTAAATCATTTAATTGCCATTTTAGAGGATATAATTTATTAAATGTGTTTAAGGATATATATTTTAAAAAGTGTTTAATAAATAAAATTATATATTTCTAAATAAACATTTTTAAATCATAAAAT